GAAAGAGTGGACGAGATCATGTGGGGAGAGTATATGGTGAGAAAGCTTACAGGGCCGAGTTGAGGACCCTTGTGATGACCAGCATTTGAAGGTATAGAAGAGCAGGACCCAGAAATGGAACAACCAGACAGATAGAAGGGAAACCAGGAGAGAGCTCTGTGAGAGAAACCAAAAAAAGATGGAGTCATTGGCGTTGGAGACCATGTAGAGGCCCTCTAGGAAAAGGACTGAAAGCTGTAGCTTGAATTTAATTTGTGGCATCAGTCACCTTGGGAACAGTTTCCCTGATCATGACTAATCAAAGAGTAAACTATGAAGAGTTTAAGTTTCTTTATAATAAAAATGAAAACTAAATGTCCATCTGGCATATCTGCTTAGACAGAAATTGTGTTTTTCTGCATACCTAACCCCACCAGGAGGTGGTGTGGGGAAGGTATGATCTGGACTGAAACCTTCATTATTTTTTCCACAGGGTTCTGCTTCAAAAACTGCAACCATCTCAGGTAGGAGTCTAGCCAAGCCCAACTGCTCCATTTTGAGGAAAACACCTGGTCCGAAAGCCAAAGTGGGACCTTCTGTTTCCTGTTTGAGGCGGAATAGTGACAGTAGAAATCTCAACTCTGATCGAGCCGTATCTCCCCAGAGGATAAGGCGTGTGTCCAGTTCTGGTAAGCATAAAATAATTCAGTTGTGTTTTATAGCAGCTTATGAATTATTTGAATGTAAAATTAGTCCTATCAGGCAGCAGAGAGACAGGTTTTGGTTATAGAGCTCTAATGCATTGTGTCACTAAAGCATTTAGCCTTTTGTGGACCAGCATCTTGCACAGGGAAGACTGAAAAAGAAGTCTAAGACACAGCCCTGATCCTTGAGTAACGTAAAGGCTAGTTGGGGAGAGAGAGATGTGCATAAAGCAACGTAAAAGCTATTCAGAAGCACGCACACACACACACACACACACACACACACACACAAAATTGGGCACTGGTTATGTACGAGTCATTTCACTTTTTTCTTTTTTTTTTTTAGTTATTTCTGAGATATACATTTTAAAGTAATAACTAGAATTATGACTTATAACATTATACCAGAACATATAAGATATTTAGAAATTTCATGTAATGACTGTCATTTCACCTTTAAATGTTTTACAAATGGTTAACTGCTTAATAATACTGGTGTGATATACTAGTTTCATAATGTGCCCTCATCATGTATGAAGAGACTAGTTTTTTTTCTTGAATCTTACGGAAAGATGTATTATAAAATCTTCAGGGATGTGAGGGTGACTAAGAAGTTAAACTTTTCTAATACGAACTTTGATTTATGTTGGTTTGTATATTAGAAGTAGTGAAGTCATGTTCGATTTATAAAATTTGAGAGCTTCCAAAGTAGCTGTTAAGTGTCTTCCTAAATTGGCAGAGGTTTGCATTTCTCTGTGTTAAAATAAGAACCGGAAATGGGAAAGGCAGCCCTTTTCATAGGGACTAAAACAAAAAGCCTGCTGGCCGTTCCAGTTGACCAGAACAGTCTGCAGGGAATACCCCTCGTTTGAGCAGGTACAACATTGAGCAAATGAAAGGCATGTCAGATAGACTTAGAAGTAAGTTCCCTTATAAAAATAGTGACTGCTGTTGAATGGTCTGGGGGAAAAAAAAGTGCCTCAAGACTTACGTGTTCACACATGTGAGAACATTTTGCAGAAACTAACAAAACCAACTAAATCCTCAGGGGATCTCTTTACCTGTCTACACCTTAGTATTTTTAGGTTTTATTGTCCAATCCTGTTATGAAGCTGTCGTGTGAGAAGCTTATAACACGCAGACATGTTTTAAGGGTGATTTACTTAGGTTCAGGCCTAAATAAATCAGGCCTTGTGCAGCAAGGTCTTGAGGGTCCTGGGGAGCAAACCCAGGAAGAGGTATGGCTGGCGGAAGAGGGATTTGCACGCATTTCCATTTCCATCCCCAGAGGAACTGAGTGGAAAGGAGGAATTTGTCAGCTCGAAGTGTTCATCCTTTGGGAGGAAAACAGAAGAGGCACTAAAGACATCGGGAGAAGCAACAATCCTTATTTTGGATGTTGCCACAGTTTGGCGAGTTGGGGCATGAGTGAGATCAAAGCTTTGGTTCTTACTGTCGCTGCCATACAAGGCTTACGGATTTTCCAGATGACAGGGAGCCCCTTGCTACTCGGGTGTCAGCAGCACCTGTGGCTTGGTGGCCCAGAGGGCCCTGGCCTCTGGCATCCTGGCCTGTTGTTAGAAGCGCTGCGTTCTAGCACCGCCATGGCCCCAGGGAGCTGCATGAGCTAGTCGTTTCCACTCCCTGGGCTTCTGTGAAGTAGGAGGGTTGGAGAATGTCAGGCTCCATCAGCTTTTGCAGTCCTTATCTTTCTAGGGGCAATTTGGAGCGCACCTAATTTTCTGAGTAGTGGCTGCTACTAGTGTGATTCTCTGGACCACATGGTGCTCGAATCCCAGAAAACCTGAAGCTCCCACTGTTAAGAAATTAGGCCAGTACCCAGGATGTATTGTAAATGATGGGATTCTTTCATGTAGATGATCCCACCAAGGAGTGACACAGTTTTGAAGTCCCTTTACTGTATGCTACATAATGCCATGCCTTAAAGAGGGAAAACTGGGTCTGCTTCGTCTTAATGAAAAGACAGGAAATTTATTGAGCTTTTATTAACCTGTGTAAGTAAGCTTAATAACTAAGCTATGCATTCAGAGTTTTCAATCCAAGTTAAAAACTAAATTATCGGGCTTCCCTGGTGGCGCAGTGCTTGAGAGTCCGCCTGCCGATGCAGGAGACGCGGGGTCGTGCCCCGTTTCGGGAAGATCCCACATGCCGCGGAGCGGCTGGGCCCGTGAGCCATGGCCACTGAGCCTGCGCGTCCGGAGCCTGTGCTCCGCAAATGGGAGAGGCCACAACAGTGAGAGGCCCGCATAACGCAAGAAAAAAAAAAAAAAAAAAAAAAAAACTAAATTATCTCTTACCTGGTGATTTTCCATATATAAATGGAAAAAAAAAATCTGTGTAACCAGAAATTTTGTGGATTTGCATTTGAGTTTTTTTATTTTAATGGTTGGAAGACTAACTTGATTATGCTGTGTTATGTTTTTAAAATATTAATAGCAACTAACTTGTTTGGACACTCACAGTAGATTGAGAGGTGTTTTGTTGTGGAGAACAGGAAACTTAATCGTCACAGAGTTAAAAGTAGAACAGAAAATCAAGAAGCAAAAACAATGTGCTTTTGGATCATTGAGCGCATATTGCCATTTACTGTACAATGAAGTGTTTGTGTCTTAGAAAATTGAAACCAAATGGATATCCTCTGTGCTCATACAAAGTTAGTCTCCTGAAAGGTAACCAGCAGAAATGTTCCAGCCAACTTGGGGTTTTCAATAAATCCTTTCAGAGAACTAAGTAGAAAACCAGACCTGGAGTTGAAATTGCCATTTTCTTGAAGCTTTGAAATGAATATGAGAAAGAATTGTAATTAAACCCAATGGCACTTTTCCATTTCACTTGTCAAAGTCTGGCAGTTCTAGTGTACAGCATGACTGTAGTTACCTCTGCTGTGTAATACATAGGAAAGTTGTTAAGAGAGTAGGTCCTAAGAGTAAATCTCATTATGAGGGGAAAAAAAGTTTTCTAATTGCATCTAAATGAGGTGATGGATGTTAAATAAACTTACTGCGGTAATCCACTTCACAATACACGTTAAGTCAAATCATTATACTGTACACCTTAAACTTACACAGTGATGTATGTCAGTCATCTCATTAAAACTGGAAATAAAAAAGTAACTTAAAAAAATCTGGAAGTTTGGGGCTTCCTTGGTAGCGCAGTGGTTGAGAGTCCGCCTGCCTATGCAGGGGACACGGGTTCGTGCCCCAGTCCGGGAGGATCCCACATGCCGTGGAGCAGCTGGGCCCGTGATCTATGGCTGCTGAGCCTGCGCGTCCGGAGCCTGTGCTCTGCAATGGGAGAGGCCACAACAGTGAGAGGCCCGCGTACCGCAAAAAAAAAAAAAAAAAAAAAAAAAAATCTGGAAGTTTATCTGAAACCAGATTATAAGTGATTATAACAAACCAGATCTAAACTATCTTTGTTTCTTTGGAGTATGTATGTGTTTCAACCACTTAATTAAATAAGATGAGATAAGCAAGGAATACTATTTCTAATAATAATTATAATGCCAGTGATAGAAGCTCACACTTATTAAATGCTTACCAAGTTCCAGGCTTTGTCTTTATCATTTCACCTATAAATTCATTTAATCCTCATAAGAGTTCTGTGAGGCTTATCTGCATTTTATAGAAGAGGAAGCCATCACAGTGAGGTGAAATAATTTGTCAAGGTTATGCAGCTAGAAGGTGGCAGAGGTAGTACATTCAGACCGGGTAACAGGACTCTGGAGTCCATGCTCGTAACCTTCACGTTGTTGGTCTAAAGAAACACTTTCAGTCTGACCGTGAGTTTTGGAAAAATTCAAATTCTTAGGCTCAGCTGGATACTTCGGAACCTGTGGCATTTCTCTTGTCGAGCTCTTGGCTTAACATTAGATATCAATTTACCATGATGTAAATGATTTTACATGGTCATTGCAGATTAATGCCGCTGAATAAATAACTGCTTAGGAAATACTTTGAGATCCAGTCAGGCACCTTCAGACAGCGCCTGCCACCCTCTTTCAGAGGTAATACCAGTTCTTACCAGGTTTTAGATTATAAATATGTGTGTTCCTTCATACACACATGTAATTGAACTGCCAGTGACCAGCCTGAGCCAGGTAGGATTACAGAAATAGAACAAAATACAACCCACCCCCCCACCCCCC